AAACTTTGTATTTGATGTTAAAAAAAAAAATAATAATAATAATAATACTCTGAATAACTTGAGATCAATTTAAAAATTGATGTGCCATAAAATGTACAATTTTCTGTGAAACAAAAATTTAGTGTATGACATGCATATCGGCATATAATATATAGTATAATATACAGTATTTGTTGTTCAAATTGGCATATTTCTTCGTATATGTGTTTTCATCTTTAGTATATTCTCATTTAAAGTAAAAAGTGCTCATCGCTTGATTTCCGTTTCACTCAGCTCGAAAATTTTTCACAAATTTCTTCACGAATGCATCTCAAAAGGATATGTGCCACAAAATGATGCATGAAATTTTCAATGGCGGCGGCAAAAGTTAATTTCAATTAGGCAAAATTTTTTGCTGCTGTTGCCGCTGACTTTTCCAAGAAAACGTTGCGCGACATTTGAAAGGCGAACTGGGGCAGGGGTTGAAGTTGGCTGCAGTGGGGTAGCGGCAATCGCGGCGACTGGGGGGCGGTAACAACGACAGATGCCTGAAAACTTAGCCTAAGCCCCCCGACCAGCCCCTCTTCCAACCATGCCTCCTATTCATTGAGCAGCACGTAGTTCTGCATATATTTATCTGCGGCCACAAAATATTATTTTCGAGTACCAAACGAAGCGCAGACATCTTGTCGCACATTGCAGACAAATTATACATATATGTATATATATATATAGTGAGTTGATCTGGCGAGTCGCTACGTATCATCGATGCTCCAGTTTACTTATTTTTTGATTAATTAGTTGAAAATAGTTTTCAACTGTTTGGCTCTGTGTTTACTTAGAAGGATGACAAGTTTTTTTTTTTTTTCGACTAAAACCAAAAACTTCATTTTTATTTTGTTTTTGGCAGAGGAGGAGTATATTGGTTTGTGTGTGCAGCTAGCTTTAATTTTGTCTGACTGTGTGATATGCGGTATATATAGATAGATTTTACAAAGCTTTGAGCCTCTTTTAATATTATCTAAGAGAGTATGGCTAGATCTTAGATATTTCTATGATAATACCAACGTAAATCAAACAAATATAGAAATTGAGTCAATATTGAACTGATCTATAGATGAAACTATAAATCATACGCTAAAGTTCAACAAGTGCATTTCAGTTAGACCTTACCGACAGATAGAGATACAGACTAAATTACTATTGATTCATGCAAAAATAATCAACATATATAAATAGGGGCTTGTCAAACTGGAAACAGCAATTGAGCCGTGCCGAAATGTTGCTGGATTTATTTTATTATGTTCCGAAATTTTGAGCTTTTACCTCAAAAACTGTTAAAGGTACTGTTTTAGTCGATTTGCCCCACCCCAAACGAACTATACTATCAACGCGAGTATAAATTCCAAATTTGGTTTTTGAAAGACTAGAAAATGCATTTCCCGACTGGTCAAGCCCCTAGTGGGTGGCTCGGAGAACTCTATAAGTTCCACATTTCAGTCTCTAATTTTATTAACAACGAAATGTTTTTCGGATAAACAGACAGCCAGATTGACACTGTTCAAAATCAATCTACTCATTTTACTTTCGTGCATGAGTATAAAAATCAAGAATTGATATAGCACTCACATATTTTTATGTAACATGAACGAGTGTTAAACAGTCATTGACACCCATTTGCAACATTTTTACATGTTTCAGTTTGCTGTTTTACTACAAATTTTATTTGTTTATTATTTTCTTCTTTTTTTTCAATTTGATTTTTTTTTTTTTTAATTTTTTTCCAACTCTGTTTGGTCAGACATCGGTTTTTACCTTTGGGGGTAAACGCAAAACGCAACATTTTGCAGTCTGCCATTTTTAGTTGGCAATATTTCAACATTTTGTTTCGATTTTTTTTGGTCAACTACATACATAATACCCCAACTAAAATGGCCTAACCACATTTCTTATAGGCAACGGCAGCTTCTTATATATATTTTTTTTGTGCAACTTGATGGCTTGATTTGTTGCCTGAAGCGTGTCTCAAAATGGGAAGATATGCCAAAAAGAAAAAAATAGTTACTACAATTCGGGTAGATAAAAGACGTAAGGCAGAAACTTCTTTTGTACATATTTGTTGTGATAACTCTAAATACTTGAGCTCTTTTATTAGAAATAGAAATATCAACGTAGCTGAATTTTTATATATATTTTACATTTTTCAAATTTTATGTTTAGGATCATCAAGTGTGATATTTTAAATTCTTTGTAATAATAAACAAGTAAAATAGCAAGTAAGTGGATTGTATATGGCAATAATCGAATAACAATTACCCTTAATTGCGAGTTGAATTGTTTTATTAGTACTGACTCAAATAATTAAATAATTTACCTTATACTTTTTTATACAAATTATATATAACGGAAATAAATTTTGATCTGTGCCAAAGAAAATGCAAACTAGTTATTTAAGATTCTGATTTTCTTATAGATTCTGATTTACAGTAGATAAGGACTTTTTGAATATATATGCCACACATATTAATATATATTCCACACAGTTTTATTTGTGCCTAGATTCAAATTGCAAAAAAAAGATATCAAAATCATGTAAAACATTGCAGTGGATCACAGCCGACGGTCTTTAAAAAATCGTTTTTAATAAATATTGACTGATAGCGCAAAGGTTTTATAATATTTAATATTAAAGCGGTCGGTAGAAAAGGTTAACTGTAATTTGTAGCAAACCCAATAGAAATATCTATGCATATATATATATATAGCATATATATATATATAATCTTTCGAGCCTTTAGACGGAAGTTTTATAAAACCAATGTACTCTTTTCTCACTTCATGAAAGTGTATAAATACAAAAACTGTCAAACATATTTAGGCGTAGCGTTCTTTACCTGCTTTTATTTATTCCTATAAAGCAAGTCACGCTGTAAATTCTGCGCTTAAACCGATTACGAATTATAAAACGCATATCATGTAAGCCTTTTTACTCGCCTGTCTTCTTCTCTATGTTGTTTCTTTATTGATAGTTCATTATGCATGACCAGATAGCGTACACATATATAATATACGTTACTGAATAGGCGTTTTTCTAGTTATGTTAAAGCCAAGTATAAATATAAATAATATATCGATTCATAGTTGAATTAAGAAGAATTTTGTTGTAATAATATTGTGAATATAGAAATAATATCTACAACAAATATAATTTCGTTAATCAAAAGTTTTCTGACTGAAAAAGCTAGAGTAGAGTCTACATTATTTATAGATAAATAAGTACCATCAAATTTAATTACTTTAAGCATTCAAAAGAAATCAGAAAATGTTATTCCATTCTATCGCTCTACTCATCGTATACTTAATATTTGCCTGAGCAACAATTTTGGTCTCTAATCACGAAGCCAAGTATCTATAGAAAACATATCTACAATCTACATAGCATAAACTGTAAGTAAGCTCTTTCCAACTGATTGTTGGCAACTGATTTTGTTATCGATCCATGACAACAACACGGAGTGAGAGAGGAAGAGGCAGAGGCAGAGATAGAGAGAGAGAGAGCATACTTAAAGTCAATTCATGATCTGTTGCGTTGTCACTGAAAATCAAATGCACAAGGGGGTTTTCTTATCGCTAAATGCGCTTCGATTGCTCGAAGTCTCGCTGCTGTCTCCGTTTTAGTCGCTGCGGCAGTCTCTGCGGATCGATAGGAGTCGTAGCTTTTGGTCTGGCATTGATAACATTTGTAACCCGAGCTCGAGATAAATCACAAATTAATCAGCGACCATCAGTGTTGCCAGGTTTTGAGACATAAAAATAGCAAAATCGTCTCTAAAAAATAGCTGAAAATAGCTAAACAAATTTTAAAATAGCTTACAAAGTAGCTGAAACCTTTATGCATTATGCATTTACTTTAAATTTTATTTTTAAATGTTATTTAATAATGTTACAATTTGGTCCACATCCAAATCATCATCAGAATTATATTTTTGATTAACTGGAATCATGTTTAAATGGAATCATGGAAAATGTTTAAATTTTTTGCCCAAAGGCGCCAACCGCAGTTTTATGTTTTTTTGTCGCGGCATGCATTTTAATATCGTGCANTTTGGCAAAAACACTGCATTTGCAGTATATACAATACGCCCGCCTGTTGTCTGACTCATCCTCCTTAATCCAATTCTTAAATTCGGTGATTGTTTTCCAGGAATCACGAAATTTCTGCTTATATTTTTTATCCATCACATACAATTAATGCCAAGAAGCGCGCCAAGAAGAATTAGCGTTGGTGTAAATTCACAACTGATAGTATAAGTACGATAAAGTCGTGGTGGTAGTATCGCGCAGATCATTACGTACAATTTGGGACTTAATCGAAAAATGTTTTTTTTTTTTTTTTGGCTTTAAATACTAAAATCAAATTCAAAATATTCGTTTGTAAAATTTTTTTTTTTTTTTTTAATAGCATTTTCAAAATTTTCATAGCTTTTAGGGTTCAAAAATAGTTTTTTTTTTTTTTTTATAGCTAATCTGGCAACACTGGCGACCATAGACCTGAATGCGGCTTTTTTTTTTTTTTTTTCAAACCAATTTTGATTTGGTTGAGCGTGTGGAAATCCGAAACAAAAACGTTTTAGAAATTTGTCGAGAATGCTTTAAGGTCAGTCTATCGTTAAAAGGAGAGTCGTTTTAAAATATCGATCTTGGGGAATATTCAAGGAGCAGAGTTGGAGATATGGATTCAGCTGTTTTTTTTTTTTTTTTTTGGAAATTTTTCTAGCTAAAAAGTGTCACTAAACTAATGAGTTTATTTTTTTTTTTTTTTTGTCTACCGATCTATCGATACTTATCGATTTATTTGATTTTCTATATTTTTTTTTTTTTTTTTAATATGTATTTAGTGTGGATATATTATCTTTGCTTGCTGTCTCATTTTTTTTTTTTTTTTTACATTTTGAAATAGATAACTTATTTCTGCATGATATTAATCCATTTTTTTTTTTTTTTTTGATTTCCACGCCTACATTCACAAATATGCTTGCTGGAGGCAGACCATTTTTTTTTTTTTTTAAGTTATATTTATTTTATTCATTTAAATAATCTAATATATCATCGATTTTTTTTTTTTTTTATTGAAATTATATATTGCAAAATTATATCAAAATTTAATTAGTGCAGTTAGCTTTTTTTTTCTAGCTGCCATTGATCTCTTGAGTCGATGTACATATTTTACAATCGATCAGAAAGACATATCAATAAATTGTGACTTATCGATAACATATGAACAAACAGTAAGTCGGCTAAATAACCTGTAATCTTCTGCTCTATTATTGGATATTGCGTTATCGATTTTTGTTTAACCTGTCGATAACTTACCCAATGCATCACAGGGCGCTCCTCGGTGCAGACGCCCATGTGCGTCTTTTGGAATGACACGAGGTCTATTTCCAACGATGATGATGCCTGTCTGGTGTATGCTTGTTGTTATTGTTGCTGTTGCTGTTGTTGTTGGTTGTTGTTGTTGGAATTTGCAGGTTGTTGCTATGTGTTGTTGTATCCTGATTATTGTTGTTGTTATTGGTGGTGCAGCGACTGATCGCAAGGCAAATGCAAGAAGGCTAATTTGGTCCTATTTAATCCAGTAATTTTGTATAGATATTTGCAGAATTTGTGCGCATTGCTTCGATTTGTTTCTTTTCTTTTTTGTGCAAAATTTATGAATGATATGAAAACATCAAATTTATAGATTGAACATTTTTACGTCAGCAAG